GGTACGGTTTTGTTCATATTTTGTGCACATATGCCCTATGGGAGTGAGGTGTTACTTAAAAGCTGATTTTCAAAATACCCACTCCTGGTGGCCATTTCACTGTTTTATGACATTTTGAAAATGGCCTCCATTTTTTACGTGTTTTATTTTAAGTTTTTACAATAACTCAAAAAGTGATAGAGCTAACTAGTTCATATTTGACTTGTGAATACTCATAAGCATGACATACTGTCTTATGACACTTTGGTTAGTACGTGTACATGAGTGCGATTTTGTTGAAATTGTACATGTGCCTACTTTTGTTTTGACAATTTGGCTCGTGAGCGACCATTTTGAAAATGGTGGTCATTTTTATGTGTGTTCTATGATTTTTGCTACAAGTATAATAGAGTCAACAATTTCTTTTTTAAAAAGCGAGCCCAATGTCCTGTTCTTACTATTGAAAATGGATTCTAGCAATACCCTCCCACATGAATATAGTTGTCGAGACTCGATCAACTTGAGTTCTTCTGAGAAACTGAGGATATACGTAAAGGTTCCATGGACTTAGCATGAGGATGCAATCAGTTTATCCTGCATATTTACCTGGAATTCTGCCATTAGACTAGTTGAATTATGCCACTATTAATCCATATTAAAGATATACGGAGTGGCTTCAGGACCGACAATTGTCGGTACTGGAGACTGTCCAGGGGTATTTGCTGGGGTACCGACAATTGTCGGCACTCTATCGTCACCTAGTAGTGCCAGATATAGAACCGACAATTGTCGGTACGCAAGTGGCTGCTACGTGTTTTTGCTAGAGAGCCGACAATTTCATAAATAAATCCACTACTTTTACTAGTAAGGATAACCTCATCACTGGTAGTCTAGTGGTTACCGAGCACGACTCTAACACGCTCGGTCCCGAGTTCGAATCCCGGCAGGAACTACTTTTTTCTTTTGAGGGGGGGGGCATAGTGCTTCTTTTGCAGTATGGAATCGTACAGGCATTAACTTGTAGTGAGCCATAATTTATTTCGACAAAAATTGATTCAACTTCCATCAAAATTGTCCTACAAGCTTCAATTAAAAAACATTTTAAAGCTCTTTTCTTATTCTATCTAATGGGTCGAAATATACAGTTATACAATATACAATTACGGGAGAAAGTGCTTCACGATGCAGACTGTATCTTACTTGAGTGTGAAATTAAATACACACTAGACTTGAAAACCCTGGCCGGAGAAAATCAAAAACTCCCCAACAAAATCAACAGGAAACTGAACGATCTATTCAGAACTTTTATCATAAAGAGCAAAAGATTTTAAAATTTTAAAAACACATACGTTAGTTCAACTAGATAAGGATTTTAAGTAAAATATAAAAAAAAGAGACTTCTACAAACCATCAGTGTTAAACTTACAAGTGATAGCACAGTGTGGAAAACAAGCACCAGAGACTAAACAAAGGTGGCATCAAAGCACCTATTACAGATGGACATAAACAAACAAACAAGTTAGGGGAGGGGATGCTTTCGCCCCCGTCGACCTCTACCCTTACTACGCCATGGCACAGGAGAAATATCTCATTTGGAATATATCACTGTTTACTTTGCGTTTGGTAGCTCTCTCATTCGAGATGGAATCGTGGCCATTTACTAAGTGAGCCAAATGCAACTTCCATCAAAAATTGTGCTATAAGGTATGAGTACCGTAATCCAACACCAAATTCGAAAATTCATAACAATACTTTGCACATATGGCGTTCATGACCAACTATGAAACGCTTACCCCCCATAGTGTTATATATCAAAATGCACCTGTCCATATAGGGGTTAGGGAGTCAGGTTACATTTTGAGATATCAGCGTCCGTTTATTGTAACTCGCGTTTGCTACCACTTCCTCAATTCTGATATGACAAGCAAACGCGTAGTAAACATGCTCACGTTCGGAACTATTTTGACCTACATCGCTATTTTCGTAATTCAAATGAAAGTTGAACTCCTCTTTATTTTGATACCAAATAGTGGCATACTAGGTACCCTAGAAGCCAACTATGGGTTATTTAGAACGATACCACAGGTTTTTAAATGGACTATATAGGGGTCATACCTTTTGGCGGATGGATATGGAACCTCATACCATACGATAAGCTTCAAATAAAAAAACATTCTACAGTTGGGGACAAAAATAAATGACAGGTCGATTTTCGATCACCATTTCCTAATTATGGTGGTCTGAAAGCCCATAATTTCCAATATTGTCTGGATACATATCCCTTAAAATTTGTATATTTTACATTTTGTATAATCTCATCCACTGATTTATGGCCTCTTGTAAATTCTCTTATTTTTAACATGGGAAATCCTCACTTCAGCAAATCCACCTGTCATTTATTTATGTCCCCAACTGTAGCTATTTTCTTCTATCTAATGGGTAGCAAACGCCCCTTTCTACGCCTGATCGGCTCAGGAGAAATATTCTGTCTGTTTAGGATATATATAGCCGTTTACTCTGCATTAATAGCTCTCTAACGTCTTTCTTGTTCATGTTTTTTATTTGGTTTTCAACGTTTACTACCATTCCCTGTTCCCGGGCTACCATTTTTTGACTGGGTTTGGTAATCCCCGGGTAACCGGGGCTAATGCCCTCCCCGGATTTTGCACTTGTTCCCAAAATATCCGTATGATATCTGAAATATCCCCCCGCACGTTGCGCATGCGCCAGAAAATTCGAAAATCAATATTTGTCGGTCCTCTAGCGTGTAAACACAGCATATCTCCCGTACCGACAATTTATTTGTCGGTCCTCTAGCGTGCCACCACATCAGAGTCTAGAGTACCGACAATTGTCGGTACTCTAGCCTTTACGTAAAATAAAATGGGACCTATGAGAACTATTAGTGAATACATGACGTGAAAAACTTGACGTGACGTGAAATTACATGATTTTCCCTTGATACAATCGACTATACAACACAAGTATTTGCTGGAAAAGCGGATATTACAATTCCAAGAATTCAATTTAATAATGCTTTATCAAAGACAATGAACCTATAAGAGGGTCGAGTGCCCCAGAATTCATAGATAAACGATTCTCTGGAGATAACATCTATTGGTTCATTTTGCATGGAGGTAGGTTCATCTATGAATATATTATGGATATAATGATGATTTAGTTAATCAGACCTCAGTGATATTGAAAGGCCAATGGACCAATCAACATACTTTTGCAAAAATGTTGACCTAATTTTCACCAAGAACTTTTTATTAGTCCAATTTACACTACGCACAGCATTCCAAGACGTTTTGGCTAAAACGTTTTAGAAAAATTAAGTTGAGTTTACATTACCATTTTCAAGACGTCTTAGGAAATAAGATCGAGTTAACACCTGTTTTCCTAAAGATATGTAGGTATACATGTAAAATGAAAAAACCCAGTTAAGTACTGGTTGAAGGACGATTCAGTCAATATAGCTATTCCTTTACCGCTTCTATACTTTGTACCCGACTTTGTACTAAAGAATGCATCGGTTTCAGAAAAATATGTCCTAAAGACAGCATTGGTAAAAGCATGAAAGAGAGCAGGAAGATTTTATGCATAAATTAGGATTATGATAAATCGCCTGGCAAATAAGTTCTTCTCAATAATTTTGGGATGATATTGGGAACAAGGGATAAGACAAAATAAAGGACCATGCGACATATGTAAATGGAAAGTTTCAAATGCATGTTTCGTTCGGCGCAACGCAAAAAACCGGGCCAAGAGCTCTTAGCTAAAACCGATGGATTTACACTCGCTTGTAAAACGTTTTAACGCTAAGACGTCTTGGCTATGACTAGGGTCCTAAAACTTTTTAGCTAAGCGCTCTTAGCCGAGTGCTCTTGAGTAAATCTGGATTTACATTACATTAATTTTGTAGAACGTTTTAACGCTAAAACTTTAAAGATATTGAATTTGGATGACCAAAATGTGCTGAAACCAATGGATAGCATGAGATTTTTCAATGGAGAAATAACATTGGGAACACTCATCTTATAAAGTTTTTCCTAACATCAAAATAAAGAATAGTAATGCATTGAACATTGTAAAAAAAGATTACATTTTTGGTGAAGATGAGGTCAACATCATTGAAAAAGTTTTGATTTTATTATTATTGTATATAATTTTCTTTAAGATAGTGAATAGATCTAAAAGATATACCTTCATTGTCAAAAAAAGTCCTAATCCCAAGATATAACTGTCTGAAATTGTTTGCCAAAACCTACCTGAACCTTTACTCAAAATTATTCAGGTACCTTAATTTAAAGGTTATAAATAATGTCTGCATTGGTTTCAGCAAAATAATTTGCATATATTTAAAATGACCATCACTTTTATTGCGGGAAAATCAGGGTTTCAGATATTTTGGCAATAACTCAAATATTACTTGAAATTGTACAGGTATCTTTATTTATGGGTGATTAATAATGTGTTCAAGCAAAACATGTAACAAAGATTTAAAATGGCCACCACAAGCTCCAAAAGTCTTCCATCAGTTTGCTTAAAATTGCACCATTAAATATTAAAAATATTGAAACCTTCCCTTGTGAGTCCAGTACCCATGGTACTATTTTTCATGGCTTACATGTTTTCTGTCACCAGCTGCTGAATTTCTTTGAAAGTGCTTACTATCTATGCAAAGTTTAAAGGTGAAAGGATGGGTGACACCGGCCCCAACGAGGGGGATCGGAAATTTGACACGCAGTATATTCTCAGAGTTTGAATTTTGCCGTTGTATAACATACATTGACTCACTAAGTTGTTCCCAGGATAGGGAATTTGACAGCCTTTTCGTTTTGCCAAAATCCCCATCTCTTCCTGCGTATGGGGTCTCACGCGTGGTACATATTGATGCGTATTTTTGATCAGGGGGGGGGAATTCAAAGGTTAAAAGCCTCTGCCAAAAGCGTTCATCACTTTCGGTTCATTCATTTTAGTAGTAACCTTTTCCCGCCGCACTCCTAATTTGTCTATATTCATGTGTCATGTGTTGTTACATCGGTTACCATGGTATTAGGTGACACCCTATTTCTACCCCAATACGGCATAAATATTGTGATAGCTGAATGTCGAAACTTCCTATTTGTCAGTGTGAATATGAACGCATTAAAATATGAGTTTGATACAGCGAGTGTGGATGAGGCCATGAGAAACCAATCTGGAGTGACATATTCGCCAACAAAGCCCCGGATCACCCTTTCTGTACAGTATGGCGTCCAGGCTATATAAAATGCCGAAACGATGGTCAGCAGTGTTCGTATTGCTTTTTTGTTCGTTTTTGATATTTTTGGGCCATCGCCATCAGAACTGAGAGTTTCTGCCATCCTTTTTGATTGAGCCAAACTAATCTTAAGTATCTTGAAGTAACAGAATCCAATCACGGTGGAAACGAGTACAAATACTCCCACTACAATGAATAATGTATAATATGGCGATGTGGTCGTGTCAAAATAACACACCCTCGCCGCTTCTTCAAAATAATAGTCTCCACTCCGAGGAAGGTCAAATAATGGCGGGATCCAGATGATGATACTGAACACCCACACTCCGATGATAAGAATCACACATCTTGGTATCGTCACAAAATCATCGTATCTTAAAGGACGTGTGATTGCGAGGTATTTATCCAAACTGAGTAGCCCAAGCGTGTAAATTGAACATACGCAGCACACACATGAGAGTACAGAGGAGAACTGGCACACGAACCACTTGTGTCCCATGACACCATTAGCGTCAGAATACCACAACGGAACGTTATGGCTCCATCCTACCATAAAGTCAGTACATGCCAATGATATCATCATGTACCCAGCTGGTGTATGTAGGGACTTTGTTTTCACGATCACGATTATGATGTAAATATTAGCCAGTATTGTAACTATGGATGTCAATGTCAGCACTATTGACACTGGGATATCCGGCTCCAAATGGATTATTCCACCCTCTGTAGAGTTTAGCACCATTATATTGTTGTAACTTTATGTCTCAACCGGATCAACCATTACATGTCTCCTCATATAAAATAATGCAATATATATATTATCTGTACGAAATATAGATGTAGTGAAACCATGCCCAAAGTATTTAATGGACACTATAGTGAATAAAAAATATGAGGTGAGGTGTGAATTATAGGGGGCGCTGTTGCACTGGTGATCCACTCGATTACGATTTTTCTTTTTTCCTTATTTCACGCGTTGTAGGCAGAATCCCCACGACGTTTTTTGTCACAACGTGCATCAGTATCATATGTTTTAGAAAATGTACATGTTTGCGAAAAAATAGCTCAGAGGACAACAGAATCGTCGATTTACTTCCTCACTTAAGTTACATAAACGGTTTTTCGAAAAACAGTTAAGATCTGCACTTTTAACCCAAACCGTTTATGTAACTTAAGTGAGGAAGTAAATCGACGATTCTGTTGTCTTCTGAACTATTTGTTCGCAAATATGTACAATTTCTTAAACATAATATGATACTGATACACGTTTGTGTTAAAAAATATCGGGGGAATTCTGCCTACAAGGTGTAAAATAAGTAAACGAGAAAAATCGTACCTTCCGGATGTTCCGACATTTTGTTACCAAAACGGTTCGTTTTGGTAACCAGCGTAATCGAGTGGATCACCAGTGTGTTGGGTATTAAATGTGCTTGTTCCCGACATATGACACTATATTATTGAACAAAATTAAATTAAACAAGTAGTATGGTTTTAACAAATTGCATTAGTTGACACGATGTTTTGACAACGAAATGTTATTTTTAAATAATTGTTTTTAAGTCAACCGTACATCCCTACTTTAGAAAAAATAAAATATTTCTTACCACTTGGCACCACCATCATTGTTCACGAAACACTAGAACATAGATCATAATCAAGTCAAAATCCATACGAAGCTTAACTACTAGAGAATTTTGCTATGATTCAATTTTCTTGAGTCAAAGACGGAATAAAGAAACATTATATTACCAAAGTTAATCAGATATGCTTTCAAATGAATATCCAAAACACATAAGAATGATCAGCTGCTTCGCCTTTCCCTTCAATCCGAACGAGTGGTACAGAACCAAAAATAAAGTATTATAAAGAGCTATTCAATTTGTTAATTGCTTCTATATTTGGTTTTATATTCGTTTATCTTTTCTCTTAATACTGTAACAAATTATTTGAGTTCTGAGAAATAAATGATTCATGGCCGGATTCTTAGAAAAATGATCTACAGAGATTTTTAAAGTAAACTATCCAAATCGCCAGAGAAATAACATTTAATATTGAAAAAATTATGGAAACAAACGTTTAACGATTTCTTATTTCAGCCGAGTAGTTGTACCATCAGAATTGAACTCCTTGGTTGATAATTTGATTGATTATTTCATGCAGTCAAGTGTCAATAAATTGGCAGCTAGGACTTGCTAAATTATCATGAAAATACCCTGCGCGCAGAGTCTAGTTATAAACTAACGAAGCTCTCTTTTTTAGAAGTGAAGTCGAACGAATGCAAATGGTATCATGAAAATAATGAATGAGTTTGAATCTGTACACTCCCTCGCATAAGTTTAGCAACTGGATCATTTATCAAAGCCTTTTTGTATGTTGCAATAGGAAATATGTACAGGCCCATAGCCAAAGGGGGGGGGGGGGTTCGATGGGTTCGAGCGACCCCCACCCCTGGCCAAAAATGCTTTCAAAATCGTGCAGTTTTTCACCATTCTGAGCACTTTTTAAGTGATTCTGGCCATTTTTGGACCGACATTTTCACGTGAACCCCCCTGGAATTTTTCAAAAGTGCCCCCCCCCCTTGTATCATCTATTTCTTAAAATTGTGAGATATATTAATTGAGAAATGAAATTAAGATTCAAACAAAAGGCTTTGCTTGGTATTTCTCAAGCTTGTAACTGGGCTGCTTTGTATGGAGCACTATACTATAGATAGCAAATCGTTCAGTGATATTGAGCCCTTTCGCAAGCGGTAACACATCTGTGAATTACTGCAAAGATGAACTCGTTGTTTAGTAGGGACTACATGTTGTAGAATCCAGGACATGATATTTTAGCAAATTCTAGTTTAAGTATACCACGCCAGGTCAGAATGAGTTTTGTTATTAGGGATGACAAGCTTCTCATTTCTAAATTTTTAATGTGTAAATTATGGTTCTTTGGGTATGTAGTGAGTACATTACACTCACTACATCATTACACTCCTGATATCATTACACTCAACTCGATTGTTTTAAAGAAAATATGTTGAGTTTTAGGTCGCTAGAAAAATAATTGAGAGGGGGACAGTATTCCCTTGTTATAATATCAAACATACTGCGTTTACACGCAAGTTCTTTCAAAAACGTGTAGGTTAATCTCCACATTGTTACTAAAAGATGCTTCTGTTTGCCAATAGAGCCTTTCTATACTCTATATATTGATAAGTGATACCAAAATACAATTTACATCTATTGTATAATCATTTATTTATGAGCTGTCAATACTTTCAATTAAACAAACAATGTTGATAAACAGTTATTTGTATTAGAGACCTATGTGGAGAAATAACATGTACATGTAGTCATGGTTGCATCAACCCCAATTTTATTGTAATAACACAATATGTTGAGGCTATTTATCTTTTTCAGAATGGACAACTTGATTTAGAGGTTTATTATACTGGAATAAATAGATAAATCCCAATATAATATGAATTGTTACATAATAGAAATCAAGATAAGTAAAAGTGACCGACATGGGCAAGGCTAATGTAATAAGAATAAACATAAATCCTCTCATAATATTTATATTGAATTTATGACATCTTAGTTCATATTCACTATTAAAACCAACATTTTGTTCAAAACACCGAAGTGTTAAAATGTCATTGTTGGTATATAAAGGCACTGAGGTGTATTGGGTATAAAGACATTGTTACTTTTCTATAACTGCCATAGTCATGATAGTGATCATGAAACCGCCAAAGCAAGTCAAAGTTATCCAAATATGGTATTATAGATGATTTACAATAAGGGACAATGGATTTATTCAATTTATCAGAAAATATTTATATTGCACAAATGCTCGACTAAAGCAACAACACTTGTTTAAAAAAGAAGGAGAAAAGTGCCATATATCAACAGTTTTGTAAAGTGCAATGATGTTAAAATATAATGTCAGGAAAACAGGGACGGTGAAGCTATAATGATTATAGTATTAAATGCAAAGTTAAAAGTGTTTAGTACTCCAGCAGTGACCATTTCTCGACGCACTCATATTTTGATTTTGTCTGTTTATGTGTCATGTGTTGTTAGATCGGTTACCATGGTATTAGGTGACACCCTATTTCTACCCCAATACGGCATAAATATTGTGATAGCTGAATGTCGAAACCTCCTATTTGTAAGTGTGTATATGAACGCATTAAAATACGAGTTTGATACAGCGAGTGTGGATGTAGCCACGAGAAACCAATCTGGAGTGAAGTATGCGCCAACAAATCCCCGGATCACCCATTCTGTACAATATGGCGTCCAGGCTATGTAAAATGCTGAAACGATGATCAGTAGTGTTCGTATTGCCTTTTTGTTTGTTTTGGATATTTTTGGGCCATTGCTATCAGAAGTGATTGTTTCTGCCATCTTTTTTGATTGAGCCAAACTAATCTTAAGAATCTTGAAATAACAGAACCCAATCACCATGGAAACAAGTCCAAATACACCTCCAACAACTAATAATGTATAATATGGCGATGTGGTCGAGTCAAAATAACACACCCTCGCCGCCTCTTCGAAATAATAGTCTCCACTACCGGGAAGGTCAAATAATGGTGGGATCCAGATGGTGATACTGAACACCCACACTCCGATGATAAGAATCACAGATCTTGGTATGGTCACAAAATCATTGTATCTTAGAGGACGGGTAATTGCAATGTATTTATCCACACTTAGTAGCCCGAGCGTATAAATTGAAGTAACGCAGCACCCACAGACGAATACGGACGGGAACTGGCAAACGAACCACTTGTGTCCCATGACACCATTAGCGTCAGAATACCACAACGGGACATTATGGCTCCATCCTACCATAAAGTCCGAACATGCCAATGATATCATCATGTTCCCAGCCGGTGTATGTAGGGATTTTGTTTTCACGATGACGATTATGATGTAAATATTAGCCAGTATTGTAACTATGGATGTCAATGTCAGCACTATCGATACAGGAATATCTGGCTCCATATGCATTATTACATCCTCTGAAGAGTTTCGCGCCATTTTGTTGTTTTGCCTTATTTTGCAGTTTATTTCTCGTCAAAGATCACCAATTAGCGCCATTCTGTTGTTTGGTTTTATCATGCAGTTTATTTCTCGTCAAAGATCACCCATTGGCGCCATATTGTTGTTTGTTTTTATTTTCCTGTTTATTTCTCGTCAAACATCACCCACTAGCGCCATTCTGTTGTTTGGTTTTATTATGCAATTTATTTCTCGTCAAAGATCACCCATTAGCGCCATGCTGTTTTTTGGTTTTATTTTACTGTTTATTTATCTTAAAAGATCACACATTGTCGCCATTCTGTTGTTTGTTTTTATGTTCCTATTTATTTCTCGTCAAAGATCATCTATTAGCGCCATCCTGTTGTTTGGTTTTACTTTTTGCAGTTTATTTCCCGTCAAAGATCACCCATTAGTCCCGATACAATGCTTCGATACAGAACGATCACCTACGAACCTTCCTTTCTAAAAAAAGTTTATCAGCGCCCGAACAAGGTCAAGTTATCTTCTTCTCTAAAGTCTCGACTGAATCTATTGATATATCAGCGGCTATTTTTTCCAACGCGAAAAAACAATCGGTAAGTCCTACTAATTATATTCCCGGCTAAAATTAATTAAATTCACATTTTCCTTGGATTTTGATTTTTCCAATTCATTACTTTGCCAGAAGTTGCAAATTCCATTCTTTTTTACATTTACATTTTGTTCATCCAAATTTGTACTTTTATCAATCGATCATTTGTTTATATGGTTCAAATGATGTCATTAACCCTTCTTATTGCAGACGACACAGTATTAAGGTATTGAATTCTTATTTTTCTCTACTTTTCATATTTACAAGTTTAAATGAAATATTTGTCCATTGTGTTCCCTATAAATTACTTTTTATAACTAGTGACACTCTACTAATGCTATATGCATGTATATCCTTTTGCTTCTAGAATTCAATAATCTAGTGGACCCTCATACCTCCATTTGCAATTCAGATGAAATTATTTCCAATTGTTGTTTGGCCCATTCAGCCCTTTTCTGGGTGCTAACGACAAACACTCGGGCGTAATTAAGATTCAGAACTGCAATACCGGTCGCTTCGCAACGTCTTAATAAATCCAATACGGTAAAAATACACAAAACGTTTCACAGGAGGAAATCAGCATACTTGATAAAAATCTGAAAGTAACAATTAAAATTACTTTAATAGCCGCAATGTGAACCTAAAAGTAGCCATAAATATGACACACGTTAGTATTTTTACGTCCAAATGTCAGAGTTCGTTGATTCAATAATCCTTCACCAATGGGCATTCACCCAAGTCTAATGAGTTACCTTACGTTCGATTGTTCTTAATTAATAACCAATACTTGATGTAATTAGTCTTGTGAGACTGACCCTCGGGATCGCTTGAATGTCCGTCAATCAAACAATATCGTTCACATATACTCGACAGTACTAATTACAAAATAAAGGTGGTACGGATTCCCAGGTGCAATAGACAATATGAATTTATACTGTTCCTCATTATAAAAAATCCTCGACAAATATTTAAGAATTATACTGCTGGCCTCTGATCCTTTGCTTACGTGCGGGATATTCTTCAATAGGTTAATCCATCTTTGTATATCAACACTAATGACTGAATACAATGATATAATTGATTTGTAAGGTATTTGCCGATGCGTCTCTTTGACAGCACACATTGATCGACCTAGAGATGAATAATCAAGATCTACTTTTGTTTTATTCAAATTAGAGGAGAAATTAATTGAATTCAATTAATGTAAGTAAGACTTAATTAAGGATTCAGGTAGCACTCTTGAAATGTATAAATAAATTTGGCGATTTACATGGATTAGAGAGAGGAAATGTTGAATAAGTATGGCTGATAATTGGAGGTCATTGTTTAATGTCAAAACACGGCTACTTTATTTAGCGTCAAATTATTAAATCCCATTCTTATCAAAGGTTTTTCAAGCTTTAAGAAATTGATAGGCTGTCGTGATATCTCATGTTGGCAAAATATTCACATCCAAGATTTTTGATTCAACATTTTTCATTACTACGCCATATTTTATAAGATTTTTTAAATGTCCACGTGATCTTGCACGTCAGATATCATCAAATATAGTTTGATAAACAAGAGGATTGACCTGTGTGAAAGAAATGATGGTCCGGGCCAAAAAAGGCTTTAAGTCCCCAAAAAGTGGGCCTCTTTGGTCATTACTTGGCCTTTTAAGGCCTTATTTTTTAATTTCAGGCCAAATTTTGAAGTAAATGGGCCTCAAAATTTCAATATTTGGGCCCACTTTTGCGTTTTAGGGGCCCAAGATTTTTTTCCGCGCAAGCGTAGAAGTTTTTTTCTATGACCTGAAATTTGCCCCCCTCCCTTGTTGGTTCCCAGATCCGCCCCTGCGTCTGATTGTCAAACGATTAGCTGTATAAATCACTATCTCCAAGAAAATTGATCAAAAATCATTAAACTATCTTGTATCGCAGAGTCGTTATAAAGATCCCAAATGACTTATTTTGCAAGAATATTCATGATCATAGTAATTAGTCCAATCATCACTGGTGATCCACTCGATTACGCTGGTTACCGAAACGGTTCAAGAATATTCATGATCATAGTAATCAGCCCAATCATGGCGTTTTCAATCAGAGAGCGCTTGTCCGTTAATAAAAGGAGATGCCGTAAGCCGACATCGGTCGCTGGTATTTGTAACAATTTATTGTAGTATACCAGTAACATTATACTGTAATAGAATATTTCAATAATGATAGATAAAAAATAAAAATTGGATACTGAAGATAATCACTTGCTCATCAACCACATAACTTGTGTAAATATATTCGAAATTGTTAAGTTAATACTTTGGCAACGCATCTTAAACATGTTATTATTGCAAAAATACATTTAAACAAATATCCTTTTAACATGAATGTATTACATGAATGCATTTTCACTTGTTAAAAGAGAGCCAACTCTTCGCACAGGGTAAGGTTTGAATGGAATGACTGATATTATTTTACTGTATGCATGTGGGCAGGTAATGGTAAATTGACCATAGCTTCTTGAGTCATAAATCATTTGCGCTTCACTTAACAAAATGTTACAAAAATGTTTCAAATCCCCCATTCAATTGTTATGGCAACGGATATTGCTTAAAGCGCAATAAATCTATAGTCTAATTCAAGTCAATCTGATTGTCACTCCTTGATTCATTGTAACGTGTTACGAAATTGGCAGCAGATTTAAAATAAAATAGCTCTCCGGAATATACTTTTTATTCATACATCTTAATCTAAAATGACTCTGCAATAGTCAAAGGCGTTGATGTTTCAATTGGTTAAAAACGCAACGTCATGTTTATGCTTACTTGTAAATTCTGATATCCGAAAATACTCTTATTGTAACAATTGTGTATATTCTTACTAAGATATACTTTCCATTTACGTATATACAAGACTATGAAACATTACCATCTCAAAATTTAACAGTGAACTTGAAAAATTAACATATCTAATATGAACACTAGCATGAACACTTATAGAATACTCAAACATTTTCTCCGTTTCGTTTCAAACAGTATTATGATATCCAAACCTTTGAAAATCAAATGCCTCAATCATAATGTGTCTTTCTACGGTTTCTACCATGACATATAAAATCATTTAAATCAGATTTTAAAACTGTTGGAATGCTATGGAGCTATGTGGCAACTCAATAGAATTATAATAGTTACAGAGAATGTGTTCACATTTCCTCAAGATTCAAAATCTCGCGAATGCAAAAACGAAATGTGAACACCTTCTAATTCGAACGCTTTTAGCTGGTCCAATGGCGTTCAGATTAGACAGGTTTTACTGTACTGATGACAATGCTTATTTAGATATGCAAATCTGGTCTGATATAATTCTACTGATTTTACTGACGTAAATGCTAACGATCTGTAGAAATTGATTTTGCTTATACGTGTATAACAGGAGAAGTATATGCTCAAAGAAAACAATTTTGCTTTGTATATCAATTACTGCATGAAGGGATCTTTATTCAAGGAATTAATTTATACATGTACTAATATTTATTTACCAAAGACTTTTAAAGCGGTTGCATAATGGAAAAATTCCAGAACCGCAATAAGCCTACATGCAACAGATTATATTATAAACACGAAATACAATGTAGATAAGTACAAGGTGGGCCAATAAATCTGAAGCTTTTTCTAAAGTATCCCTTAACTGTTCGGTCTAAATTGTTATCTATGTACAGATGAAGAACACCAAACTGTCACGCCAAGACCCAAGACACCTATTGGATAATAATTTTTATTTCTCTCCTGTCGTTTTGCCATAAGATTTGGGAGTGAAATTGAGAAGTAAATGACAAATCGGATAAATTCAGCCTACAACACGATTTAACAATCCAACAATAGGCTAATTGATAACTTATCACTCCTGTCATATCGAAGTTAACGAGACTTGTATTTCGTATCAAGATCAATGTCAACGCCTGTATAAAGAGAAATGCTAATCCATTGTGTGATATCCAAACAGCTGAACATATTCGATCGTGATAGATCACAGCTTTTTATCAGTTTCTTTCGAGCGATTAACACATCCCCTGGCCAAAAAGTCTTTCAAAATCATACAGGTTTTCATCATTTTGAGGATTTTAGGCCTAGGTTGGCAAATGTGAACCCCTAGATTTTTAAAAAAATGAACCCCGCCTTGCTTCCTTGTATACTTAACGTTTTTTTCAATACATGAGATTATGAGGGTCTGTTAAGATAACAGAAAATCCTAGATTTTGAGGTTTCATATTTTATGAACTTTATTACACAAACATACCCATATTAGGTAATTGAACTCACAGCATTCCACAACAGTGGATCAACAAAACAACATACTAAACAATTCAATAATACTTCAACAAGCAACAAGTTTATTCATTATCTGATTCATTATCTATTTTAATGGTGTATGGCGACTGTGACAAGTCGTCTATTCCTTTACATTAGTTATGCACAAGGTACTAACCAAAGCAATTCAAAATATCATCACCTCACCTGCTATACCGTATGTTTCAGACGCCAAACGCCAACCGTTGATTACCGACCACAGAAAGCTGTAAAAAGATGGAGACCATAACAATATCTGGTAGTGCCATAGAAACTGCTTTATAATTTCAATTCATTTATTTTCACAAAATAAGGAACTACCGCAAGACATAGAAATAACAACGCCATCTTTCTATAAAAAAGACAAGTCTCGGTTCGGAGAAGTCTACTAGGCTGATAATTATTTTATGAAAAATATAGAAATAACACCCAAATTAAATTATGAATATTCAAAAGAGAACATTTAAATATACAATATGTAAAAATATCAAAATTGTCCAAAGCAGGCTTGGCGTAACGTGCAGTAGACTGATGAACTTCGTTCTCCAAACCAAGCTGAGTCCTTTGTCTCAGACCCAATGTAAGCACAGTACATACATGATCACTCTACTATACCTTGCATTTGGTGTTCATGAGCAACCCATTTTGGCTAATTAGTAATGATTATGTATTTGTTTTTATTTGTCTGTTCCTTATTAATGGTTTATCGGATGACGTTAGATGTTAATAAGGTACTTTCAAAATATACTAAACGATACAATTAGACAGAGTATCTTATGCATTTCTAGGTGTTAGGTATAGTAGTGTGATGATACAAATCAACAATAACTCAATAACAATCTTTACAGGTGATCCATCAGAATGTTAAACAAAAGGCAAACAAATGAAGACAAAATTATTGGAAATTCTCATTTTAACATTGAAACAGCCGCAACATTTCTAAAAACAAAAGGTAGTAAACAAGGCATTAACATGCAAAATGTCACTACCTGCCATTTGTTACAGATGCCGACTGCCAAACACCATCCACAAAAAAGTTGGAGACTATCAATATATCAACACTCGTGGTGGTGAAATAAAAAGCAGAAAAATTGTCTGTTGCTTTCTGCAAACAAACCACTGTGTTTAACATCTGACTGATAGTGAGAAGTAAAAAATTCTAAATATATTGTACAAAGTCTTACTCTTTTATAGTGGATCAGCAGGCATACCGAAAGCCAAAAATCAACTGCCAAACACCATCCACAAAAAGTCGGACACAATAGCAGTATTGGTGGTGACATAATAAACTTCTGGCCAAAAATTCCTTCAAAAGCATGAAGTTTTACCATATTTTTGGCCAAAATGGTCAAATGTGAACCTCCCTTAAATTTTAAGGTAAGTGAACTTCCTCCGGGAAAAATCTGGCTACAGTCCTGCAAAGTATAATATTTAGTAATATCCCAAGATATAGGAATTAACGTCACCAGAAGTATTGGCCTCATCAATTGTTTGCTGCATATCATGTTCAATGTCTTGCATCTTATTATGATCTTCACTTAAACATTCAACAGTGGCTGTTGTCAGTGTCTGCTGTCCAAGTACAGGGTCATAGTGAGTAGTAGTAGGCTGGAAATTAGCTGTCGTAGGCTGGAAATTAGCTGGAGTAGTCTGGAAATTAGCTGAACTAGGCTGAAAATTAGCTGAAGTAGGCTGGAAATTAGCTTCCACTGGGTGGAAATTAGCTGATGTGAATTTATCAGAATGTAATGGATTTTGTATTGTTATAACGTCAGTTTGCATTATGCTGTTCTGAGTTGTTGAAGCAGGTTCATGCTTTATTGTCTTGACAGGAGTATTCAGAATTCCTGTCACATAATCCATAGGGTGGGTTGTCACATGTTCATTTGTCACATGTTCACTCGGGGCAACTGTCAGATGATTGCTGGAAAGTATTAAACTGGAATTACTTTGTGACTGAGTATGGATAACTTTTTCAGATAAACCATCACTAGAAGTATCAAGAGCATTTTTGTTGAAAACCCCATCTGGTGTGTCATGACTTATATTTGGTGTGTCATGACTTATATTTGGTGTGTCATGACTTATATTTGAAGTGTCATGACTTATATTAGGTGTGCCATGATTTATTATTGAGGTAGCATGATGTATATTTGAAGTGTCATGTTCAGGTCCTATACGAAAGTGAATAAGCTTTTGCTTAGTTGGTGTATCAACTACTATAGGGAAAGCTTCTCTTGAACCATCCTTGTTAATTACAATAACAATAGTTTCATTCATCTTTTCTTCTCCAGTTCGAGTCTCTATAATTTGCTCACTTTCTACTTCAGGAATTGGAACTTTTAAAACATTAGGGGGGTCCTTTACAATTGTCTGCTCAGCTTCTAGATCAACTGCCCCTTCTTCAAATTCAATATATTCCACTACATGTGTTTTTTCACGTTGGGTATCATTTGTGTCAATTTGTGTGTCAACCATGTCTACTATTTCTTCCCCAGTCTCTATATTTTTGGCACTTGCTATGTGTGTATTTCCATCAATATGCGAGTCCATTACGCCTTGAATATCCCTGGTAATAGGCTCTGCATTTGTCATTGAATCAGTATCAGCTGATGATGGAAACTGAACTGTGACTGTGTGTGAAGGTTCCGGTTTAACATTAGCAAGCTGTGCTTTAACATGGGGAAGCTGAGGTTTAGTGTATCGGATCGTCTCTACAGCACTTCTATTTTGATAAATAACATCAGTAGCACTTGTTGAGCTGGTTTCTCTAACTAAATCTCCCTGTTTTGGGGGGTTATTCTCTTGACTAGTTGATGGAAGAGTTGAGTGTTCTTTTTGTTGCTCAGACCCCTGGATTCCTGTTTTATGTTTATTTGAAGAGTCTAAGTTGATCTTATTACCTTCTCTAGCTACATCCCACATGACTTGGATTGTGGAATTTTCATTAAAGATAATTGTTTTGAGGTCTGATGCTGGTACTTGTTGAACAAATGATCGGCTGAGTAACCTATTTAGTTGAGGATGATCCAATGGCAAGGATTGGGTCACATTTGTTAGTGTTTTCTTCAAGTTGGCATCTTCATTATCATTTGAAGCAAGTTTTAATCTAATTAATGAATCACTTGGTTTTGGTAGTGGGTTTTTAATACTGGTGGGAAGTGTTTGTGTCCCTGCTATGGCATTATCATTTCCTATTTTTTGTACAGCTCTGGTAACAGGGTAATCCATATAGAAATATTCTAAATGTTTTAACTTGACATGTTTCTTTAAGTTTGAACCCACTGGTGTTGAATATGTGCAATGTTTACACTTGTGTGGTTTCTCACCAGTATGGATCCTCATATGAAGCATCAGCTTGGATTTGGATGCAAGGACTTTTCCGCAAGTCTCACACTTCTTTTTGCTGCTACTGTTATGCACGTGGCGATGCATCCCTAGTGAACTTGATGCTGAAATCAGAAGAAATTGCTACGTTAAGAGTGTATTTGTTTTATCCCAAGAAGTTATTTACCTGACTGATAGAATGCATTGGAGTCAGCATCCAGCAAAAATCAAATATGGTGTTACTGTGAGCAACAGACAATTGTAACTTCGACAATATATTGTAAGGAGAATATCTGGTGAAAAAAAATCAAATTTCGCGGATTGCACAAGTTGAATTTTTTCCTCCAGCTCTGTAAACTCCATATTGATAATATTAATATACTTAAATGCCTTTTAACATATGCATGAGCTTAGCAAGTACATCAATTGTTGATATAAAATTGAACAATACCCCATGTTAATTATCGCCCAACAACAATGGACAAAACATTTTACACCGAACGAAACATATCAAAAGTCCTGGGTCAAATCCCCGGGGATTTAAAAGACAAATGTTAGCGATTTTACTACATTCGGGAACAAAGTGAAATTAAATCGCACGCGAACAATACCAGGAGTACAGTATGGTAACTATTAGCACTTGCTAACTGGTAACTATTATTCAAACTAAATGGGTAATGCAAAATCAAACATTTTCAGAGTGAAGACAAAGCTCTCTTTTAAGAAACAGAATCAAAATAATGAAAACATAAGTTCATACTTACACGCAAATGACTTTTCACAAATATCACATTTAAACAGCTTAACGTTATTGTGCCTGTTCATGTGATCTGTATAGCTTGTTTTGTATTTAAAAGTCCTTTCACATATTTCACACGTAAATGCTGCCTCTCCATGAGTGAGTCGACAATGGGCTTTAAGACGTCCACATGTTGTAAACTGCATATTGCAGGTTGTACATGTATACTTCTTTTCACCATGGACACCTGTTAATGAAACATTCATAAATAAAATTATATTTTTATGCACACACAAGACGCTCTGTTATTATGACTTTTCTATATTTATTGTACAAATGGAAATACAAAGTACTTTCTACAAGGTGTACCTTACATAATAAAGTCACACCAATATTTTTCCCCTACTTCATGGGCTTTCAATAAGTTGATGTTTACAAACGATAAACCTTATGAATGATTTACGAAAGTGTTCTGTTAATGGCCGATTCGTAACTTTACGAATTCGTAACTTTGCGAAAGTTCTGTTAATGACCCCCTGACAATTAATTTGAAGGGTCTTACCTTCTTTATGCTCTTTTAGCCCCTTGTGATTACTCAGCATAGCTCCACATATATCACAAGTAACAGTTGCACCAGAATGATAATTCTTTTCATGATCGACCATGTCGCCACGGAATTTAAACTTCTGACCACATGTTGTACAAGGAAATGTTTTTTCAAGTGTATGGCGTAGTTTATGATTCTTAAGTCTAGTTTTCAGGTAGCTTGGGTCATTAGACTGAGACTTCAGGATAGCGTTACACAAGTCACATTCTAGGGTGTATATTTTGGTCCCAGCTGAAATCAGAATGAAGAACGAAATGTTTATACAACCAAACATTCAGTAATCCTATAACGAGGTTGAAATGATTTAAACAATTAGGCCTACAGGGAATTGAATTGTCTGAAGTCAATTGTGTCGAATAATGTTCACTGCTTCAAGGTGAAAAGACACCCAATTTTCAATAAAGCAGGAATCTCCTTACGCTTTTAGACTCCGAGATTCTCTGGAGTCTAATAGCTTTTCCGGAGTCTAAAGTGTTTTTTCCGAGAGTCTAATTTTACATTTTTGTCACATTATTTGTGGTTAAACTCTTGAGAAAATACACAAAACTGGATACAAACAAGGAATAGGAAGTCAGAAACCTTTTAGAAATGAATATTGTGATGATTAAAATAGGAACAGAATCTTAAGTAGTATTTTGAAAAGTATATGATATCTCTGATCTCACATGGGAGAGGAGTAGTGGTGATACCCTGAAAAATCCAGGGTCTAAAAATTTTCCTGCCAAGGCAAAGTTTCTAGGAAAGAGGATGGTGTGAGATGCTCTGCCACATTCTGAAACCCTAACTGACCTTTTTCAAAGTCTTCAGTTCGTGGTCTTCCACGCTTTTTGGTTGTTTTCAAAACATCATTTTCTCCAGAATAAAGTTTCATTTCAAGTCCTGCTTTTATCTTGGTATTACTGTCCAAAGATCTTGCCTTGTTAATGTCTGTATCAACAGCGACTTCATCCTTATGGTCACTGGTTTTGTAGTCTTTGTTTTTGTCTTTAGTGTCAAAGCCAGATTTTGGCTCATCAGTATTAGAAGTATCACCTATGACTTCATCATCATCTAAGTCATTCACTAAATCATCAGCTGCATCATTGTCACCAGTGGCAATTGTTTCTTTTAGATCACCCTTTGAATCTTTAGTATTTTTTATTCCATTTCTTGAATCAATTTGTGAATTTTGAGTGGGCTTCTCATGTTTATTGCTCTTTGAATCGTTAGAAATTGAAGAATCACTTTGCGAATTATTTGACTGTTCCCGTGTTTGCTTTGTAGTCTGTCTGGTTCTATGTCTTTTAGCTGATGGCAAAGTAGGTCCTCGTGGATCTGCTTGTTTCTTCACGAGACCTACTGCCTCTGGGATATCCATGCTCTGGAACAGAATAAAAAAATCGTTATGAAAAATTTATATAACTAGAAAACAGAAAATCTATGTATAGCAAATCCCACTGAACAAAATATTCCAAAATCTGAGTTATTTGGATTTGGTAGGAATTTATCCATCATTTGCAGGTATTTTTCTACCGCTTGGGAGAGTTTGAGATATGAAACTTAGAATTTAGCTCATTGTGACAACTTTTGATGGTTGAAGTTTATTTAAGAAATATAGACTGAAGAGCAGGGGTAATATTGTCGAATACACCCCACAGGGCTAGGCACAAACGTTTTCTGTACCCCAAACGACCGAAGCGAGTGAGGGGTTTGAAAGCTTTTGTGCCCAGCCCTAAGGGTTGTATTCAACGATATTATACCTGCTCTGAGGTCTATATTACGCTTCGAACATGAAAACTCACCAAAATGTTTCGAATATTCATTATGGTCCGCCATTACTACGGGCCCGCCGTTATGACGTCACACATTACACGTATTACCAGGGGTTTTGTTCGCGAATATACCCGGGTGAAATGTTGACTTTGTTTAGAGTTTGTAGAAGGCGTACGTCATGTTCGAATTATTGTTGTTGTTGTTTATTCATGTTCACCACTTCCACATATGATAGCCAAAAAACTACAGAATAAACCAAAATATACAAAATTTAGGCTGTAAGTATGTACTTCTATTTTTTCATATACTATTGCATTTGGTCCTTTGAATGCACGGATAGTGGGAAGTCCTCCATCTAGGAGGTATATATTATACATTGTTAGTACCTCAGTGTAAATACTCGCATCTGATTGGTCAATTAGCGGTCAACATTTTTGCCTGTACCCCACCTGTGCATCATGGGATATCATATTATTGACCGCGTATGTTACTTTACTACACTTGTGAATTATGGGGAATATGACATCATAATGTTTACAGAAAAAACATGGTAGACAGGCATTTTGTAAACGTTGATGAAAGTGATATTTTGACTTTGCTAGACGACAAGGATAGCAAAAATACAAATAGAAACATAAAATTAACATTAATTTACTATTGAGTAGGCAGTGATGTGCCGAAAACAGAGAGTAATTAGCTACCACTGTCTTCAGATTTTCTTAAAAAGTTATTGCTGGCGTGGTTCGGAGAAAAGATTGTGAAATGAAGCCATGCCGATTGATGATTGTCGTCTATATAAGCTTATGGATTATTAGTTTTTTCGGACTAACAAAACAATTGTAGACCTCTCCATCTGGTCAACCGTCAAAATCATATACCTCGACTGTAAACCTTGAAACTACTGTTGACCTCGACCTTCGGTCTCTGTCAACAGTAGTCTAGTTTCTCGGTTTACAGTCTCGGTATACAATTTTGCCGGTTGACCTCTGGAGAGGTCAACAATTGTATACTATAGGTGTATATAATATAAGTAATATATAGAGGACTTCCCACTATCCGTGTTTGAATGCTAATATTTAGATTCAAAGTTGTTAAGGTTCAGCTGGAAAGTAACATTTTGGTAAAAAATTGCTATACCTGCACATGTTATTTTCTGGTACAAAATTAAGTATGAAGTTGTGTGTGTATTTCCTTGTTTTTTTCAGGAAAGTATCATTACACTGTTTACTTATAGAATATCTAGAAACAGGTCAATGGTAGCTCCTGTGTTGTCTGGAAACTTTGAAAGAAAATTTGGAAAAATAGAAACTGTGAAATATCAGAATTTCCTGGAGTTCCCATTGAACCCCTACCAGATATTCTAAAAGAAGACAATGTAATGATACTTTCCTGAAAAAAGCAAGGGAATTGACACATGCCTTCATACTTTATTTTGTACCAGAAAATAACATGTGCAGGTATAGCAATTTTTTACCAAAATGTTACTTTCCAGCTGTACCTTAAGGTACATTGACCTGTTTCCAGGGTTCAATGGGAACTCAAGGAAATTCTGATATTTCACACTTTCTATTTTTCCAAATTTTCTTTCAAAGTTTCCAGACAACATAGGAGCTACTATTGACCCGTTTCCAGATATTCTAAAAGTAAACAGTGTTATGATACTTTGCTGAAAAAAGCAAGGAAATACACAAATGACTTCATACTTAATTTTGTACCAGAAAATAACATGTGCAGGTATACCAATTTTTTACCAAAATGTTACTTTCCAGCTGAACCTTAAGCTTAAAGTCCATTTCACTGCTTCAGTTCGTCAGTAGAACGGCAAAAATAAGAAATTGGGAGACCATTGTGCAATAATATATGGAAAAGTATATTCATAATGTACACGAATGACATTTGTATATCTTGGATTGCTTCTAGTTTGGCTTATAAAGTGTGTGGCCTCTTATATTTGGATGTTTCTCTGCCATGTTATTTTCATTAAGATTAACATGGCTGAAATTCTTCAAATTACAAGACGGCACAGGCTTATTGCACAAAAAACTAAAAAATCTGAAATATACAAATGTCATTCATGTACATTATGAATATACTTTTCCATATATTATTGCACAATAGTCTCCCAATTTCTTATTTTTGCCGTTCTACTGACGAACTGAAGCAGTGAAATGGACTCTAGATTCAAATGGAAATCTGAATCTGACATGACTTTACCTCAATAGTCCTTGGATGTGTTCTCAACAATATTAGATTCTTCAACTTGTAAATGACACATCATGTTTAGAATGACTTTTCCAGTTACATCCCATCGCATTTTAAACAGTAAATCAGTTGAAAACACACGAACGAAAGCTCTGTTTTTAAATTTTCAATCAACATGGCGGATTGAATGTGCGCATGCGTCAAACAATAAAACCGGATGTAAACAAATGCACGTGGCTGACACATTTGGAGAACTTATTATTTTGACCTACTTTCCCAACACCATATCTCAAAAGTGGGTCAAAATACTTTCTGACGGCAAAAGGCTAACACTATTAGCACACTCTTAACTACATGTATACACAATTTCGAAGAATATAATTAAGTGTAGTGTCAGAATCGCAAATATAAAGAAAAACATTGAATTTGACCTAGATTTTGGCCTAGGCATTTTGGTGTTTAAGGTCCCCTTCTTTTATGGGCTTCCATTCTGTTTAGCTGTTCTTAGTCTATATCTCTTAATTTTACACTTCAAAAAATTATTTGGTCCCATTTAACATGGGGAACCAAATTTAGCGATTTTTGAGATTTCACAATGCCATAACTTTTAATGAGAAAATTTCCTATAAGACTAATGCCCTTGACAATGAAAGGGTAGACAAGGAGGAGGAGGAGGAGGAGGAGGAGGAGGAGGAGGAGGAGGAGGAGGAGGAGGAGGAGGAGGAAGAGGAGGAGGAGGAGGAGGAGGAGGAGGAGGAGGAGGAGGAGGAGGAGGAGGAGAAGGAGAAGAAGAAGAAGAAGAAGAAGAAGAAGAAGAAAGAAAGAAAGAACAATATACTCCAGATAAAAATCTGGAGTCTAATGATCGTGCACGATTTAAGTAAGTCAACAAAATGACGAAATACTATTCTTAAACCTACGTCAGGTCTAAATGCCTTCTTCTTCCCTCCTCAAAATGTAAATATGATGTAGTAGTGAACCCTGAACCAATTCAGAACGACGCCATAAATTTTGTAACAATAGAAAGCGGAAAATTCTACTTTTCATTGTGTCATGGATGGATGGGTGTTTGGATGGATGGATGGATTGATGGATATTATTAAACAATACCAATACAATATGTCAAGGGTAACCTAAAACTAAAATAATATCAACAGAGGTCTGGCTTAAAATCTGTAGAGAAGACTTCTTAAGCGAGGTTTTAGATCTCATAAAACTACTGTTATAACAGTGACGTGAGGTATTACAATGCAGGCCATTCGAAATTATTCATAAAGTCACTACAATAATTTTCCTCGACAAAATAAATTTCCTCGACAACAAGGCGGCCATTTCGAAAATAGGTGAGCTTTTGAATCAAGAGTCACAAGGGGCTTTCTTGTATTGGTAATTAAAAAGGTAATCTAAAATTAGGGCTGGAAAAAATAAAGGGGGGGGGGTGTATAGAGGGTCCTAAAAATGCATATACAATATTTTTCAGCTCTCTTATACCATATACAATATTTTTTCACCCCTTTTATACCATATACAATATTTTTCACAGCTCTTATACCATATACGATATTTTACAAAAGTTCAGGTGAAATACAATATACGATAATTTTGAAGGTTGATTAAAGTTTGGATATTTATAAGAAAATAATATTAGGAGAGAATCCATGTACTAAAGTAAATGTATTATTATAAGGCAAATAGACTCCACATACATATCACAATGATTTCATTTATACATGTACATCATGAATAAGACATCATTCGGGCACATTCGCATGTTCAGAAAAGCTGTGATCACATTTCATTTTCTGGTAAACAAGTTGATTAAAACACATTTATGGTATAAGATTCATGACTTCTCTTTAGTGATTTCACAACGCCTACTTTGACCAAAAAACTAACTTAACATTTCTGCAATTTGCTAAAGCCATTACCTTTAAAAGTACCATTAAGATATTCAAAATAAGCACAAAACCCACATCATTGGAACGGGAGGAACTCAGTGTTCCTCTTTCTTGATGACTTACTTTCCCATGACTTGTTTTAATGGCAATGGAATCAGGGAAAAAATTTCTTGAAACATAATTGATGCAAAATTGAGAATGTGGAATAAATGATTCATCATGTGTTCATGTTCATCATGAAAATAAAGTTTGCTGAGGAAAATACGTATCAGGTAAATAATGAAGATATACAATGTACAATAATTTTGTAAGGCAGTTACCTGGAAAATATTAAGTACTGAAAACAGTTTTAGAAATAAAGGACTTTACATACTTCCATCATGAAGATAATTAATTATTTTTGATTGGACTCGAGTCTGGAAACTAGAGTTTGAAATAAAGGCAAGATGAGACTTGATTGTTTAAACATTTGGAACAAAGACACGTCAGGCTTTCAGATAAGGCAGCCTTAAAAAGACAGTATAGGTCAAAAAAGGTGTGTCAAAATTAAGCAAATTTCCATAAAGGTCAAACCACATGTTTCACGAATGATTTCAAGGCAAAGATGTATAGATGGGAATGAAAACCACTCTATGTAACTAGAAATAACTTTCTTTTAAAGGACCACGGACGGTATCGTAACAGATTTCAGTCATATATTGGATTTTGGCTATTTTCTGAGGATTTCAACAGGTGCATAGGTTAGGCCAATGCATTATCTCCAGGACAAGCAGTCATAGAGATTATAAAATAATTTGGACTTTAAGACAGGGAATGTGCAAACACCCCATCAAAATGTTTTTTTTCTGTAATGTTTGTTTTTTCGAATGTTTGTTGCATCAATCACTATGTTGCGTTTTGAGACATGGTTAACATCTTTAAATGAAAATATGTTTCATGCGGGGGTTTTAAAGATATCAATTTTGGATGACCAAAATTAAGCTGAAAACAATGGATCACATGAGTTTTCCCTATGGGAAAATAACATGGGAAATATTGTTTTCCACTCTATCCCAAATTAATCATATTTTAGAGGTCAACTGTGTCTCAAAACTGTGTCTCAAAGGGCACCTGTTCAAATCCCAAATAAATAGCCGAAATCCAACATATGACAGTTTGAAGACCAAATAAACACCTTTTGCTATATTAGCATTGTGATGCTTGTATTAAAACATGCGCTGTATAAACACTTTATACTCAAATATTTTAATGATTTATCCCACATACCCCAAAACACGAGTAGCCATAGTGACCATATTTTTCATCAAAGTTAAGAAGAGTCAATGACATTTGGCAGTCTCACGCCCGGTGATCTGAGAAAATGAACGGAGGGGGCAGTAGCTGATTTTCGGTATATTCAACAAATCTTGAAGATTTATTTTTTCAAGAGAAAGTTAACAATTGAATGGCTAAATGAATAGGCGCAGTGCACAGGGAAATATGTTAGGTCTTCTTGGATTTTTTTTTGAACTGATGGAGTTCTAAGATAAAAGATCTATTAAAACGGCGCAGCGTCGCCAACGTGCAAATGCCAATGTTTTTGCTATAAATCAAGCAACAATGGTCTGCACGACCTGTAATATTATAATATATATAAGCGAAATTTTTATCACAAAATTAATATCATTGCCGGGTTTTTTAAATAATTTTCCAAATGATGAACTCAGTTACTCAGTAACAGCTTGATGTTACAACTCTGAAAAGTGAAAAATGGGGACATATGGAGTTATTAGAAATAAAGTCAAGTTACATCTCTTTTCATATGTCTTATAGACACATTACCCCCCCCCCCTCTGTTCAATCTTAATAATTTTCGATTACTTTTTATATAACGTATGGTAACGTGTTTTTACAAAATCAACGATGACAATAGTTTTGTGATAATTACTTAACTTACAAGTATTTATTACAGGTCGTGTAGACCCCTGTTTGTTTTAGTTGCTTGATTTATATCAAAAACATTGATAAATGATCTTAGAACTCCACAGTACAAAAAAAATCCAAGAAGACCTAACATATTTCCCCGTCCACTGCACCTATTCATTTAGCCATTCAATTGCAAACTTTCTCTTGAAAAAATAAATCTTCAAGATTTGTTGAATTTTCGACCGAAAATCAGTGACTCCCCCTCCGTTCATTTCTCCCGATCACAGGGCGTGATTCTTATTCGAGATTGTATTTAACACCTCCTGTGAAAATTTGAATGAAAAGGGCACAAAACTCTTAGTTTGAGAGGGATTTTCTCTAAACTTACAGTATTGATTGACCTGGAATGTGGAACCAATTAGAGAGACTACTTTTCCATGTTTTTCCAACACGGTTACAGTAAGAGAGTTGGCACAATGGGGAACTTAAGGGTACAATTTCTTCATAATTAGCCTTCTTTAATTCTAGATACCATATACCATATTTTTTCTATTATACCATATACCATATTTTTTACACTTCTTATACCATATACGATAAATTTTGCCCCCTCTTATACAATATACAATAAATTTCCACCCTCTTATACGATATACGATATCCCTATACACCCCCCCCCCCAATAAATTGACATCATTTCCGATACCTGCATTTTGTTTTCGCAAAATACAATTGATTTTGAAAAAGTTAGACAATTTGATTTTCTATATTAAAATAGCTTTCGGTGAATCTTATACTGAATAGATATCCTGAAATCTGAAAGCAAAATCATACATTTTAATATAACATTTGTAAAATGAAATCCAAATTACAAAACTAGCTGAATATTCTTTTTCAATTTTGTCTATGATTTAATCCTTCTAAAAGTCTCTTCTTTTATTCTAAGCTGACAAGCTCTGAACATATTTTTGCGCATAAAGTAAGGATCACTCGTCTAGAAGTGATATTGTGCTATTTTCCTATACTGTTATATGCAAGGTCATGAAAGTTGAGAGTCGATGACATCACTTCCTGAGTAAAATCTTAAAAGATGGCAGCTTACTGGAAATGAGCACTACATTTTTAAATTATCAATATTGACTATATTAAAACATATCCAGATGTTTTGCTAAATATGGAAAGTATATATATGATTATAGCTATCAAATGCAAGGCAAGGCGCAAACACCCTATAAATTCCGAAAGATCGCTCTTCTATGATAACTTTTCACAACGTTTACGCGAATGATTTTTAAACTATCCGGGGTAGTCGTATTGATGATGAAAACATCTGTTATTAAAATTAGTGGGTCTCCGTTATGCTTTGTTTTAAAAAGTTTAAAATAT